TTAGATGCTATACAAACAAAATATTCTTACAAAAAATTAAAATTTTAAAATGGTCCGCCGTCACAATGGCATAGAAATTTAGAACGTATCAAGATCAACGATAATGATATAAATCGTCGAGTAACACGTTTGGCTTACACTAAATTTAAAATTGCTGTAAGGCCAGATGAATTTAACGCTATTTTATTTGGTCGTCGATTATTTCAACAGTGGATTGTTAAAATTGAAAAAGACAGGATTCAGTGGTGCAAAGATAATCAAAAACAGATAAAAGCATATACTTACCAAGAACTACACGATTATTTACATAAATCTGCTAATGCATATTCCCGCCATATGCAACAAAATTATCAGGATGCAATGGCTTCAGTCAGTAAAACTGGTAAGCCTGACATCTTTCTTACAATGACTTGCAATTCTAGGTGGAAGGAGCTACAGGAAAATCTTTTATCAGGTCAACAAACCTGTGATAGACCTGATATTGTAGCTCGCGTACTCCATTTGAACAGAAATTATTTGCTTGATGTAGTCGCGAAAGGGAAGTTTTTTGGAGATGTAGCATCTTACATTTATGTCATTAAATTTCAAAAGCGTGGTCTACTACATATGCACTTATTGCTTACTTCAAAATATGCTTATAAAATAACCACACCTGAAATTATTAATAAATTCATATCAGCTGAACTTCCTGATAAAGAACGCGATCCTTTTTTATATGACATCGTTGTAGAAAATATGACTCATGGACCTTGCGGTGATTGGTGTATGATAGTCAACAAATGTTCAAAGAAATTTCCAAAAAATTTTGTAACACGTACGTTAATAATTTAAGCCCGAACAACGTTGCGTCACAAATTATTTAAGGGGAAAGGCTCGGAAGGCGCACTCGCTTCGTCGCGGAAAATTAACGAGGGCTATGTCGTCCAGTAATATCGATAATCGCGGTTTGACTAGTTACGAGAGAGACAGGTTGCATAAATAAACTTATCGGTTCGGATATTTTACGCTTTATTAAAATAACAATATACATATGGCGTTGACGTGTGTGCGTCGGCCAAGTCCGGGCTAAGTCCATTCCGTGCGAATTAATTCACAGGAAACAGACCGTCGCCTTACAACTATCCCGCGAATTCCACGAGGGTGATGCGGATTCGCGCATACAGTCACTCATCCGCGTCCGGCCGATACGATGCTTGGAGAGAGAGAAACCGAGGCGCTCATCGAAAAACAAAAAGGGTACCTGAGCTTGGGAGGGAGCGCTACTGCGAAAGTCCGCGTCCACTGGGCCAACGATGTCGTCCTCAAAGGCGGATTTAGATGGATGTAGCTGGTCTTCCTCCTTGATGATGGTCGCTCGATGGCAATCAACTGCATACACACTGGTTTTTGTCGTGAGGCTCAACCAGCTAGCAATTAGTTGCCGGTCAAAACCCTACTACTGTCCGATCTCGCGCCTTCCGCGACGTCTTACGCGCCCCTCCCCACAGGCACCCAAAACGGCCGAGCGCCGCCGGCTACGCACACATGTGCGACTCATGCCGGCGACACTACTTCTCTCTCTCCTCCTCTGCTCGCCGCTCTTGCCCTATCCCTCCAACGCCAGGCATCTCCGCCGATCAGGAATCAAACCTGCAACAAAGCCACATCGTGCGTCGATACTCGGTTTTAATCAACCAAGACCGATGTGGCAGCAGCTCAGGGGAAGGCACGCGGAAGAGAGAGAGAGGCGAACAGGGCGATCGAACCCAACGATCGATTCGCCCGTCACACCCCCTCCCAAGTCCAACGATACCCCCGATCATCGGTGGACGACCACCTCGACCTCCCTAGCACCGCCGCCACCGGTCTCGGGAATTCAGAGGGACATTAAACGGAAATAACACAAGGGTAACATCCGCACACGTCAACCATCAAACTCAACATTTACTCTAATTAAAATTAACTTTCACCACTACTCACCCCATTTGCCTTAGTCGGTACTCCGGGCATCAGGTGTGCTGGCTTGCAACGCAAAGCGTCGCAGCCGTACCATCCTGATGTACTCGGCCGTGGTGGGGTGGCTAGGATTAACCGCCCCAGCCAGTCTACCTAACTCTTCGGCCTGTTCGTCCGTCCATGGCTCCCCAAGCGTCGATCCTACCACCTCCGCTTGGGGTTGAAAAGGCTCCTCAGAGGGACCAGGGGCAGGACCAGCCCTCTCCGCATCGTCGCCGGATCCTGGCGGAGTGTGCCGCAGGGCAATCTTGGCATCTCGCTGAAGAGAACTCGCAGCCTGGTGTTCTTGCCGCGCGTCCTCTCGCAGCCTTAAGACTGCAGCGTCCGGACCGGCCTGCTCAGCTTCGAGAGCTCGTTTCCTCTCTATTCTCTCACGTCGGAGACGGCCACCACGCCGCTGCTTCTTCCTACGCGGCTCGGTTGCAGTCCCATCTTCCCATACATTTATAAAGGGTACAACGCAGCTACTATAACTATTGGAAGTGAAAATGTATCTAAAACTATCAGCCATGATGAAGTTACTAATTTTATATAAACTCGGTATGTCGGACCCATGTTATAGAATTTTCAGTAAGCCATTACAAGATAAAAGTCACGCTGTAGAAAGATTACCAGTTCATTTACCAAATCGACAGTCCGTTATAATTTTTAATGTAAACAATTTTGTAGAAAATCTAAATCAAGCAAGTAGTAAGCTACTTGATTTTTTCAAATTAAACATTGAAAATGAAAATACACGCAAGTATTTTTACAGCAATATTCCATCTTTTTTTACTTATAAAAAAGAAAAAATTAATGGGATCATGATATCTAAATGGGCTACACGTAAAAAACAGTTTAACTATATTGGGCGAATGTTTTCTGTCAGTCCTACACAAATAGAGCTCTTTCACTTGCGACTGTTATTATTGCACGTAAAAGGAGCTACCAGCTTTGATGACCAGCTGATGGCATAGTCCAACCTACGTTTACAGCAGCGTGCTTAGAACTTGGGCTAATAAAGGATGATCAAGAATGGGCCAAAGCAATTGAAGAAGCATCAATGTGGATGATGCCACGCCAACTTAGACAACTATTTACTCGAATTTTAATACACTGCCAACTAATACATCCTGAAGAATTATGGGATAAATTTAAAGACGCGTTATCTGAAGATTTTTCACGGACAAATAATTCTGTTGTGAGTCATCAAATGGCATACACTGAAATAAATAATTTGTTAAATTGTGAAGGTAAAAGTTTGTCTGAGTTCCCTTCTATGGACCAAACAGTGATTAGACATTTATTACCGGAAAATGATAATGAATTATCACAAATAGAGTTTGCAGACATTGGTAAAAAACAATATGAGCTGTTGAATGAACAGCAAAAAGAAATTGTTGATATTGTTTTGAATAAAGCTATTAATAACAATAATCACGACAATAATTGCATATATATCAATGGCCCAGGAGAGTCCGGAAAACCTTTTATTTATACAACTATTTACAATTTATTGTGTTCACAAGATATTAAAGTATCTTCAATGGCTTTTACTGGTATTGTAGCAATATTACTTCCAAAAGGAAAAACAGTGCACAAAACATTTGGTCTTCCTGTTCCAATGTATAGCGATTCATCATCAAACATTACAGCACAATCTAAGGAAGGTCGTCTACTCATGGAAACAAAAGTTTTTATTTGGGACGAAGTGCCTATGGCTCCGAGATATGCACTAGAAATAGTAAACAGAACTCTACAAAATATCATCGGTAATGACTCACCTTTTGAAAGTAAAATTATGGTTTTAGGTGGTGATTTTAGACAACTTCTTCCCATTAAACTTAATGGAACACGCACGGAAACTCTAAATCTTTCTATTAAATATAGCGTATTATGGCAACATTTTCACAAATATAATCTTACCACAAATATGAAAGTCTTACCTCATGAAATTAATTTCGCTAAATTCTTATTGTTAGTTAGTGACGGAACTCTGAACGATCAAAATGACAATTTAGTTTTACCTGATCACTGTCTTTTAAAAAAAATGATGATATAGTTCTTAGTGTGTTTCAACGATTGATCATAGAAAAGAAATTCGATGCAATGAGTAAATGTACTATTTTGTTCGGCGAAACATTGACGTTGATGAATTAAATAGATTAGTTACTGATTTATTAGACAAAACTACTGAACATATTTATACCTGTATTGATAGCACCGAAAATTGTGACAATGGTGAATTTGACGAAGTACTTTTACCAGAATATCTAAACTCATTAAATCCTTCCAGTTTGCCTCTACACGAATTACGATTAAGACAAAACTGTATTGTAATGTTAATTAGGAATTGAAGTATTCATGAAGGTTTGTGTAATGGTACACGTTTGAGAGTATTAGATTTTTTTAACCATTTGTTGAAATGTGAAATTTTAACTGAAGACAAATCAAAGAATATTGTATTCTTAAATCGAATTTCATTATTTTGTACAAATGAGTATCCATTTACTTTCAAAAGACACCAGTTTCCTGTTAAATTATCGTTTGCAATGACAATAAATAAAGCTCAAGGTCAAACGTTTGATGATATTATTAGTGATCTTTGTAGAGATGTGTTTAATCATGGTAAATTGTACGTAGCAATGTCGAAAGTGCGCTCGTGGGATAAGCTAAAAATTTTTCTTGGAAATCAACAACATAATAATAATATTAAAAATTATGTTTTCAAAGAGCTTCATTCTTAAAAATCTTCTTCTGTCTATTAGTAAATCTTAATATTAGGCGCGCGAAGCACGCTGTGTGATTCTAGTTATAATAAAAGTACTGATATAACAGCGTCAATTGTACTTCCTGGTATGGTTGACAAAGCACATAATTGCATATACATATATATATATTCGAGCAAACTTTGTACATATCTTCAAACTACATATATATATAAATATATGTATATATATCTGTGTGTATCTCAAATAATTTTTATAATTTACATTTGTTATAAAGACCTTTATTTTCTACTGTAGGTTTCATTGTTGTCAAAAAGAAAAAATGTAGAATAAGATAGTTGGCAAATAGAAATTATTACAGCAATAAGGACAATAAATAATTACAAAAACAAGGAAATCAGAAAAGGAATCTAAATTATAAAAAACAAGGCAAAAAAAAAACAAAGTAATAAACAAAATAAGTTTTGCTAGTATTGCTTATTGTTGGTATTCAAATAAGAGTTTCCGAAGTCTATATTTGTAAGTATTTTTTTATTAATAATCATTCAGTATCGCATATCAATTATTCAATCATTAATAATTATAATTTTTAAATATATCTAAAGTCAACTTATCAGTGCATAATTTTATAGATTATACATAGGTTCTTATGGTGAGGGGAAGGAAATTAAAAAAACGTGTTATTTATTATTAATTAACGAAGGAATAAATATTTAACTATTGAAAAATTACGCTTTTCAAAATTTCGTAGCAAACTTTTGTCGATCGAAAATTACGCATTTAACTAAACTCTAGCTTTAAGTTAATATAAATCTTTTCAGTATATAGCTGTAACAATTTATCATAATAAAACAATCTGTCCAATTAATCTTTATTCACAATACGTATATCATTGCAATTTATACATGCAGGAAAACATATATCTTACATTTATAAATTGTATATTGTATTTATAAATGTAAGATATATGTTTTCCTGCATTTATAAATTTATAAATTGTATATTGTGAGGCCTGCAATGGCTCGGTCGGTAGGGCGACGGACTCGCACCCGGTAGGCCCGGGTTCGATTCCCAGTTCCTGCTGATTGATACAAGCACCACTGAAAAAAGTTTCATATGCTTTGTTCTCAAACACATTGCAAGCCTCCGTCGCTGATTAGCACTGATGGAGCATAAATAGAGCGACGTTAAATAAAAAAAAAAAAAAAAAAAAATTGTATATTGTATCACGTATTCTTTTTTATCCATTCTTTGAATTTATTTTTTATAGTTTTCTCATTTTTTTCTAGTGTCTGTAAGTCTTTAGGCAATAAATTAAAATATTATATAGCTACTATTTTACTAGAGTTTTTGACGAAAGTTTTTTTGTATTTTGGGGGCTGATATCTCAATAACTTTTGCAGTAATATATCATGATCGACTGAATCAAAAGCCTTGCCCAGATTCAGAAAAGTAACAATTGTTGATATATTCTTATCGATGTTATCATTTAAAATTAATGTTAATTTGCTTAAAGCATTTTTTGTTCCCAAATTTTTTAAGAAACCAAATTGTTGTTTGGATATGATTCCTTGGCTCTGAATAAAGTGGTAAATCCTCCTGTACATTATTTTCTCGTAAATTTTAGCTAGGTTAGAAGACAAGGAAATCGAGCGAGCTTTCCTATTTATTAATAATTTTTTCCTCTTGTTTCGTTTAATAAATCGGGACTACTTTTACTTTTATATTTTTAATGCTTCTGGCCATGTTCCTAACTCAATGCATCTGTTAAAGAGACAAGCCAATGGTCCCACCAAAATATCAATTGATTTCAAAACTTTCGTACCTATATTATCTACTCCTCCAGCTTTTATCGTCATTTTTTTAACAATAGTGTGACATCGGGGTCACTCTCAGGTACTCTTGGAGTAAGCGTAAACTCAGGGTTGCTCTGATTTGGCTATCGTGTAACACATAAACTGGGACGAGCAATATTGTTGCGTGGAGAAAACTGTATGCTAGCGCGGTATGTAATAACCAAATGTTATTACGAACACACCAGACTCACGCTTAATGTGTTCTTAAGGGACTTTAATGAAAATTCACCAGACTCACGCTTAATGAATTTCCAAAAAAACGGATTGCTTAAAGAAAGAAAAGGATAGCCAGATATAAGGTTTTACTTATTTTTATTTTATTTAATTATTTGTTATTAAGGCTGCGCTCTCTCTGCTCTTTGATCTCTTTATCTCTCTTTCTCTCAATTTTAGATGTAGTTAGGTGACTTCTTGATTGAATTTTGTCTGACTTCTTCAAAATTTTCTTCTCTAATGCTTCCTCCAGCACTCACTCACTGGTAGTCACTTCTTGTTAGGCACTTCCTGGTACTCACTCCATTCCTCCAGTCTTGTACAGAGCTTTTTATAAGCAGTGGGTGGTTGGGTGGAAATCCTTTTCCTCAGGCCCATGAAGCGATAACGGCCAAATCTTGTATTGGTGGGAAATTTTCTAATCGTATCTAGGATTTCTTTATTGGTCTGTGGGCGTGAATGTTCAGTGAGAGAAAGGGCGGTCCCTTTTTAACTTGGGCCCTTTTCTCCAGAGATGTCTCTCGGAGTGCCATTTTTAAGAGCAAAAGTGACGCTATAGTTTAGAATTACTTATACAAAATCGTACTAAACTTAGTTAATTTTAACGATACATAGTGATTATTTAATAACTATAAATTACAATAATTCAATAATTAACTATTATAAAAATCCAAAAACTTCCAAGGGTTATTATAATATGCATTACGTTACTATTGTTATTTTCGCTTAAAACATAAAATTATTTATTAGTTATTTTGTTATTGCAAGGATTGAACTTGATAAATGATATATTTTTAAAAGATGCGCATTATGGTACAATAGTAACTTACAAAATTGATTAAAATCCATGAAATATTACGGATATTTTCTTAAAATTCGGTGGGAAAAAAAAAGTAAATTGTATTTTTATGGCCCTCTTCCATTATCGGCGCGATAACGCTTCACGATGTATACGCGATGATCGTAGGCTCCTGTCAACACATCCGCGTGGGACAAAGCAGGATAGAGCGTCGCAGGCTCGGGCCACTATCAAGTTTTATATAAACTCTTTATCTCGAATGCGTTTTCATCGTGGGAAATCAGGAAGATTCCCGCTCCGTTCTTCATATTTATTTCTATTAATTAATATTGAAAAAGAACTAAGTTACAGCTGGCCGTCACAATAGTCTTGATTTCATCAGTATTTGTATATTTAATATACATAGTTTTATCAACAGTTTTAGGTAGATTTAATATATTGTTTGAGTAACATAATTTATCCCTTAGCTTCCTGCCCACTCAGCAAGCGTAGTTATTCATCCTATCCGCTATTACTTCCTTGTGCTCTATTCTAACATTATTATTATGAGTAAAATATCAATATCTACAGTGTCTTTCTGAATATTACCAATTTTTTTATTTATATTATTCCATAACCTTCTAGAGTTATTACTAAATTTTATTTTTAAGTTCTATATTGGATGGTTGTTTTTTCCATTCTTTATATAGGTATTCTTTTCTATTACAAGATACAATAATAGCTTTAGACATCCAACTTTTTCTTGGCATGTCTTCATTCCTATGTTTTTTATTACTCTCTTTTGCCAGACTAATACAGTTTTGAATTTCTTCTATTATTAAATCCGTTGTTGTGCGACGGGGAAGAGGAGGGGAAAAATAAGTGAGTTGGTAGACACAAATTTCTCCGGTCTCGACTGCCGCCAACGGCGCAGTTAGCCGAATAACGTATGCAGCTTTATTTATTAATTGAGTTGGGCTTTCGCGTTAGGAGAGCAGGTAGCGCTGCAACGTTAGCTGATTCGGCGGTCCTGGTCGCTGATGATTGACGGGTGGTTTCCCCGCTGCCTTCTTCCTCGTCGTCGTCGGTCCCGCGCGGGCTATCACCTGTAGAAGATGAAAGTGGGAGCGCGAAGTCCTAGACTGAGATCGTTCGGGTTGGGTTCGAGACAGGGAAACACATCGAGTGAAAGAGAGAAGGGACAACGGGTGGTTTTTACAGGCCACCCACGGCTGCGGCTCGTTCGGCTAGTCAGGTGTGGTTCGGGGCACGATGACTCTTGGCTCAGAAGCGGGTATATCGAGGGAGGCGTCACAGGGCACCTCGGTTAACGGGTCAGTGGTCTGGAAAGAGGCTCCTTCCGATCCTTCGTGGACTGGCAGCGTGGTTCCACGACAAAGGCTATCTAATGAACTGGCGATTAAATCATTCGCGTACGCGCTTACTAGTCCTGAGACCGATCGCGAAAGCTACGGGGGATGAGGCAATCAAGTGGGTGTAGTCAATGGTGAAACCTATTTTAATAAGACTCGAATTTATTAGGCCAACATTCCCAGGTCAGCCCAGTAGTCAACCCCTCGCGATGGTCAGCCTGATCTAGGTTAACAAGGGCACGAGTGGCATACCTCGACGCAGAGTCGACTTAGGCGGATAATAGCCGGGGCAGACAGTTTCGCGGATTTCGAACACAATTACGCGTTGTCGAGTCGTCTATTTGCGGCGAGGATTCCAGCTCGCCCGAGGTAAACACGCGCAAGAATTCGGTCGATCGCGCGAAGGTTAGTCACTGCTCGCGATGTTGTTAGCGCCTCACAACAATAATCGCGTAACGAAACAAAGACAAGCGATGTGTGCCCGAAACTTCGCCGGTCGAACGAAGGTCGGGCGCGACTCGCGCAATGTATTCAACCGGCTTCAGAGAAGGAATTTATAGACGTGCGCACTCAGAGAACTCGTTCCTCAGATATCAGACAGTATAACGACGCACAAGACAATGCTTGGAAGGTCGGTGACGAAAACACGCATAATAACGAAGATGGGCGCGCGAAGGTCATACGACATTTCCGCGCCGTGGACGTTCGGCAATCACGCGGCGATCTCGTCTTTCGGACACGGGACAATGCGACGGCGCAACAAGGGGAATGTTCGGAAATTCAACGACAAAACACACATGATAGTGAAGTTTCAGGCGCGCGAAGGTCGTACGACAAGAATATGCGCGAAAACGACATCATTGGACGCGCGAGGGTCGTGCGGCACTCCCGTAACGCGGACGTTCGGCAATCACGCTAAAATTAAGAGTAGAGAAGCGTATTTACTCCGACAGTTTTTTAGGGCAATTGCGGTCGCGGTCACCGCCGCTAAGGCTGCTGTAGCTACTGCTACGATCGTCGTTGTTGGTACTGCCGTTGTGGCTATTACTGATGCTGATGCCGCTGCTAATACTGTCGCTGCTGTTTTACTAGGGCTACTGCTATTGTTAATGCTGTTGCTGCTGCTGCTGCTGCTCTGATGCTAACTCACTGCTACTACTCACTCACTGCTAATACTCGGTCACTGCTAATATTCGCTCACTTGCT